TGGTCACACTAACCATGTGCACTTTGTAATATTCGGAAAAATGGAAAAATCTGTAAACAATTCAGTGTGTAAAAAATGACCCAACAATCAGTATAAAAAAGTCAGTCAGCAGTTGGCCTAATGATAGACTGTATTTGCTGATAAGGTCATTGTATCGATCAAAGTTTTACGAAATGAGGTCTTTACCAATTACCTCTCTTTGTCCATCAGCTTGTTTTTAATTTGTACCTATTTTAAGAATTTCAAACAACTAATAGAAAACCTCTGCCTTCGTCTACAGATATAAACCTTTGGTCTGAATGAAGATACACGTTAAGGATTTTATTGCCCTTGGCAATATTTTAAAAAAAAAAAAAGATTGCATAATTGATTTTTAAAACATGCAGCATTTACTGCCACCCAGTAAATTCAAAATTTACAACATGACAGGCCTATGGCGCGTATGCTCCGCTCCTATTTTGTATTTGTTTAATGGAGTATTGAGCTCGAATACCGTTCCTTTATTATCTGCTAATATTTCATTTTATGGTTTGATAAATTTATTTTTATCTCAAGATATATATGATCGTTGAATTTGTATTTTTAAAGCACGCCTACGAGAACGAATAGTTACACTTGTCTACAGTTAAGTTCTTCGGTAAAAATCCGTATAATACAGATTATATACATATGTATGACATTTAATTTTAGAGGTTATATTTCCAGTTCAGTAAGCCTATAAACGTTTTAATGTTAAAAAAAAAACAAGAATTAAACGAAAGACACCAAGCAACTTTTGGACAATTTGAAATATCAAGGTTTTAACAAAATCAACAGTTTAAAAAATAAAAGTCCAGGCTTTTCAATATCACTGACAGCTGCTTTTTCAATAAAAATGGAACTCGTAAATTTACGTACCTTGTCATTGTTCATTTACAAAATTATATTATTAAAACATTCTCATTGTACACACAAGTCCTCTGAAGTCGATATCAAAAAGATGCTTGAGTTTCTGATTGACAATATCTATGAAAAGCAAATTTTTCCATACCAGGTATTCCAATTCACAATTTTTACTTTGAAGATGATCATTACCCGAGTTTATTAGCAGACCTATTTTTATATTCATATGAAGCAAAATTTGTGCAAAATATTATGCGTGAAAAGAAGAAAACAGTTGCTGTGACTTTCAACTCGACAATTAGATATATCGACGACATATTGTCAATTAACAATTGTAATTTCCATATTTATGTCGATACGATAATCCTAGTGAGCTTGCAAGTGAGATAAAAGATACGATAGAGTCTGACACATCTGTTTCATATTTTGATATTTTGCTTGAAAAAGACGTTAATGGTAAATCAAGCAAATTCAAAGAATTGTGGTCCCCGGCTTTCGGTGTCTTTGTGGGTGAGATGTCATTTTTTATGACATATTGTGTCTAATATGAATACCCTATCATATGTTATTTATTTATATATTACATGTATCACTGAAGTTGATTTAAAAAAATAAGATCAATCGTGAAGGTCAAGGTCAAAAACTGACGCGGTTATTCTTTATGTCAAAGGTAATGCACATGACAAGTTGTATACCTCTCTTTCAATTTCAAGTTCAACATGTGTTTGTCAAACACTGATGACCCCGTATGGCAACATAACGAAGATTGAACTTTTCTTAAATGCAAATCAAATATATTATTACCCAAAGTAGGGTTTTCTCACGAGAAATATGATTGTGAAATGCAAAATCCCTAACACCACCTGTTCAAAAGTTATGGTCAAGGATAAATTTTTGAAAGGTAGGTCAAACTTCAAGGTGACTAACATCTAACAACATTCCATAGATTTCACGAAAGGTCAAAGTAAGTACTTATTTGCTTGAAGAATGAAAACTTTTGCAGGCGACCATTTGATTGGTTCAATAGTTATGGCCAAGGTCAAAGTTTTTGAAAAGTAGGTCAATCGCCAAGGTCAAGGTCAAAGTTCTTGGTATTCAATGAAAGGTCTTCTCACAAGGATTACATATATGAAGTATAAAAGCCCTAGCCCTTACCATTCAAAAGTTATAGTCAAGGTTAATTTTTTTTATAAGTACGGAAATCTCCAAGGTCAAGGTCAAAAGGTCATAGCTGTTGGTATTCAATGAAAGGTCTTGCCACAAAAAATACATATGTGAAATATGAAAATCCTTGTATCTACCGTTCAAAAGTTGTGACGAAGGTCAAAATTTTTGAAAAATAGCTCAAACTCCAAGGTCAACTCCAAGGTCAAGGTCAAAGTTTTTGGATTTCAATAACAATTCTTCTCACAAGGATTACGTGTGTGAAGTATAAAAGCCCTAGCCATTGCCGTTCAAAAGTTATGGTCAAGGTTTTTTCATAAGTACTGAAATCTCTAAGGTCAAGGTCAAAATTGTTTGTATCCAATGAAAGGCTTTGCCACAAAAAATACATTTGAGAAGTATGGAAGCCCTAGCCCTAACCCTTTAAAATTTATAGTCAAGGTTAATTTTTTTTAAAAGTAGGTCAAACGCCAAGGTCAAGATTCTTGATATCAAATGAAAGATATTGTCACAAGGATTAAATATGTAAAGAATGAAAGCACAAGCCCTAATCCTTTAAAAGTTATGGGCAAGGTTTGCTTTTTAAAAGTAGGTCAAACTCCAAGGTCAAGGTCACCTAAGTAAAAAATTGGAATTTTTGTGTAAAAGTGGGTCAAGGTCAAGGTCAAATTTGGTGGTACCCAAAGAAAGAGCTTGTCACAAGGAATACACAAGTGAAATTGAAAGTCATAGCTCTACTAAATCAAGGTTAAAGTTTTTTCGGACAAACAGACAGACGGACGGACAAGACAAAATTTTATACACCAGAAATTTCGTTTACTGGGGCATAAAAATATATACTTTGTATTTCCTACAAAAATACTTTGACTATTGCATCCAGATTGTTTAATTACAAGAACCAGAAGTCTCTGTTGAGACTGAAGCTCTACTGGTTTGTACTTATAGCAAAAGAAGAGAAAAGTACTTAGGCAGTTGGGAATTGAAACTTTTCAACAGCAACTAATAGAAAAATGATCCTTGATTAAGTCTTTATGTTTTAGTGTAGTCTACTTGCATGCCACATTACATTATAATCAGACTAAAACTGTATTTGGAGTAGCATTTTGAGAGTATTAAACAGAAATTTCTATTTTTAGTAACCGTGGCAACACCGTTCATTGAAGTGAAAAACTATACACAGAATTATGTACCTTAGTGTAGTCTACTTGTGTGCCAAGTTATATTGAAATCAGACCAAAACTGAAGGAGGTGTACCATTTTGAAATAATTTCACAGAAATTTCTATTTTTAGTAACCACAGCAACACCGTTCATCGAAATCAAAAACCGATACACAGAATTATGTATCTTAGTGTAGTCTACTTGTGTGCCAAGTTACATTGAAATCAGACCAAAACTGTAGGAGGAGTAGCATTTTGAAAGTATTTCACAGAAATTTCTATTTTTAGAAGCACGTCAAAATAGATTTATGTACCTTAGTGTAGTCTACTTGTGTGCCAAGTTATATTGAAATCAGACCAAAACTGTAGGAGGAGTAGCATTTTGAAAGAATTTCACAGAAATTTCTATTTTTAGTAACCACGGCAACACCGTTCATCGAAATCAAAAACCTATACACAGAATTATGTATCTTAGTGTAGTCTACTTCTGTGCCAAGTTATATTGAAATCAGACCAAAACTGTAGGAGAAGTAGCATTTTGAAAGAATTTCACAGAAATTTCTATTTTTAGTAACCACGGCAACACCGTTCATCGAAATCAAAAACCGATACACAGAATTATGTATCTTGTGTAGTCTACTTGTGTGTCAAGTTATATTGAAATCAAACCAAAACTGTAGGAGGAGTAACATTTTGAAAAATTGTTTACAGACGGACAGACAGACAGACAGACAGACGGACGGACGACGGACGCATTACTATCGCATAAGCTCTTCTGGTCTCTGACCAGTAGAGCTAAAAATATGCCTAGCTATTGTCTAGTTCTTCAAATAACTAAAACATAATTCTCCTTCATGTTCTACTTCACATTATAACTATATAGTCCTGTTGGACACTTTATCATTGATGATGTAAAATAAAATTAACGATGATGTCCTTAAATCACTTATTTTAATAGGTCCTTAATTAAGGGAAACCCGATCTTTCAACTGGCGTTATAATTTCATAATTATTATAGATTCTGTAGAAGATTACATTTTACTGAAGTTAGGCAAAACCGGTTCAAATACATTTATTATACCTCATATAAATAATCACTACTAAAATAGAATCTTATTGGCTGAGAAGGTCACGCTACCGTCGTATTTTCCCTGCAACAAAACGTCGTGTTCCACCCCTTCGGATATCTCTTGTTTCATTTTCGTTTCCGATTAATGAACAAACCCGTAGAGTTCCGAATGTAGTCCGAAAAAGCTGACGTTTCCCAGGCTTTTCTACGATTTTGATATTTTACGTGCCAGGAAAACGTCAGAACCGGCGCCATTACAAAATCTGTGAAATCGCCGCCTCCATCCGTAGGCGGCATTCTCGAGTTAATTTTAGATACTTGCGAACCGAATTAAATTTCAAAGTAACAAGTTATCAATAGTGCAATACTTTCAATATTTAAGGGGGATGTACAAGCCATATTAGATCTAGTCTGGTGTAAAATAAGAAATACCAAGAATGTGCTTAATACTCTACTAAACTAGCTCAAAGTTACTTAAAGTGCTAATGCACTAATTACCTACTGTTAGAGACCAAAATTAGTAAATAATTAAGTTTATTTTGTTTTAATTAGGAGGAAATTAATCATGTTAGAACTGCGCAGCTACAGCATTTACGAGATGAAAAATGCATTGAAAATGGTGTTAGTTGCATTTACCGCCATGTGCGGTAAATGCCAGTTATCGAAGAAGAATAGCCTAAGCGCGATAACTCCCCTGACCTCAACCAAATTTCCAAAATAGCCCCAAGCCTTAAATGCGCTTGCGCACACATCCTCTTCGCTCGACGATTTTGATCAGACAGCATCAACAGAAAAATCACCTCCAAGTTGCAACCCATTACGTGGATTACTATATTAAACATGCTCCGTGCAAAAAGGACTACAAAGTCTCCATATGCCAGGCCCGGCCGAGCTCCAGCTGCCACCAAAAAGGCCAAAGCATCCAGGCCTCCAAGCACCGTGACTCAACCGAACCAGGTCACCACTGCTACAAGCACCGTGACTCAACCGAACCAGGTCACTCCTGACGCCATACCTCCAGCCTTATCAAACCAGCCTACAACTTCCTCAGGAATAGACATCCCTGACCCCTTAGAGTTTGAGGCATCGCCAACAATGCTTTCTACAGGTACTTCAGGCAGCACTAATACATTATCTAATTCAAGTGCAACAACACCAAATTCATTATGTAGCGTTTCAGACGCATTGGGCGTCCATGTCCCAGACAACCTGAGACAAAACATATATGATAATGCATTCATTCACTTGCATAAATTACTTCCTCTCAAACCAAATGACGAGCCCCAGCAACAGCTCGCATTTGTTGCTGGCGAATTAGTGCTAAAGGCTAAGCATAAAGAGATCAAAATAACTTCAATTGAAACATGGACAAATGCTTTCCTCATTTTCAGCAGCATTTACTTGACTAAGTTCCCTGAACACATTCAATCAATCCTTAAATACATTAACATCATACGCACTGCTGCACAGCGATCATCAAACTTAAACTGGCTCAATTATGACATACAGTTTAGACTAAAGCGCTCCAGGAACCATACTCTCGACTGGGGGTGTGTCGACGCAGAATTATGGCTCTTGTATGTGTCTCATGGCCACAACACTCTATCACAGCAAACCCCAAATTATACAACTAAATCGCCAAAATGCTTTGACTTCAATTACAAAGGCACATGCGGAAGACCATACTGCACTTATCAACATGCTTGCATTAAATGCTCCAATAATCACCCACTCATAAACTGCCGCTGGCACAACAGTCAGGCATTTCGCACAGAAAACTTTCGCCCATCCCAAGCCGAACATCCCCGCCAGCCCCCAAGCAGATTTCAGAGTAGAGGGTTCCCCCCAAACCAACCAAGGCCTCTGGGACTTGGCCCCAACCCCAGTCAACGTTAACATCCTAAAATCAATGCTAAAAGACTACCCCTTGCAACATATTGCTCATGAATTAATCAATGGTTTTCAATATGGTTTCAACATTTGTTATTCGGGTATACGGGAATATCAAAAATCTAAAAACATGAAATCTGCACAAACAAATTCACAGCAGCTCCAAGAAAAAATTGATCAAGAGGTTAAATTAGGTAGAGTAGCTGGGCCGTTCAAGAATATCCCCATGTCAAATATCAAGTGTAGCCCAATAGGCATTGTTCCCAAAAAGCAAGGGGGGTGGCGTATGATTTGTAACTTATCTGCACCAGAGGGAAATAGTGTTAATGACTTTATAGACCCAGATCTCTGCACCGTTCATTATACATCATTTGACTCGACAGTAAGAATGATAAAAGAACTAGGCAAGGGAGCTTTGTTGGGGAAAAAAGACATTTCTAGTGCATTCAGACTCCTTCCTATTCGCCCCGAGGATTTTTCCTTGCTTGGTTTTTATTTTAACAACTATTATTTCGATAAGTGCCTCCCATTCGGTTGCTCTATAACTTCAAAACGTTGCCTCGCGTCGCAAAATTACTCTTAAAGAAATGCAATCATTAGTTGGATCTTTGGCATTTATTTCTAAGGCAATACCTGCAGGGAGAGCCTTTTGTAGGCGATTTTATGACAGCCTATCACAGGGATACAAACAACACCATTATATCACTATCTCAAGGGCACTTCGCGAAGATGTAGATATATGGCTCGAGTTCCTGTCCGACTTTAATGGCACAACTGTATTCCCAGATATTCACTGGTCAGATAAAGACACTATTCACATATCCTCTGATAGCTCTGGTTCACTTGGGTGCGGGGTCATATTTGGTACACAATGGTCCTACCTACAATGGCCCTCAGAATGGTCACAACACGATTGTAGAGATCCGACTTATCTGGAGCTAGTCCCAGTCGCCCTTGCAATATACATATGGGGCCACAAACTACAAGGCAGAAAAATAATCTTGCATATTGATAACATGGCTGTTGTCGAGATAATCAACCAAAAAACATCAAAGTCACCAAGAGTTATGTCCCTCCTCAGGCCTTTTCTTTATAAAATATTAAAATACAATATCCAAGTCCGCTGCGAACATGTACCAGGTCATTCTAATTCTATAGCTGATGCCATATCTCGTTTTCAGTGGCAAAAGTTCAGGAAGCTGGCCCCCCATGCAGACTATTATCCCTGCCAAGTTCCTCTGGAATTCTGGAACCATTTGAGCAGGAAGTAGAACAACTACTCTCAGCATCAGTCTCTCATAACACTCAAGAAATATACCAGAAAGGTCTTGACTCATTTGCACAATTTAAAAAAAAATTTAACTTAACAGAAGTATGGCCCCCTCCCATAGACCAATTAATTAACTATATTGCTTACCTATCCTCAAAGGGGACAACATACTCTACAGCCAAAACCTACCTAGCTGGCTTAAGCTTCAACATAAAACTTGGTAATTTCCCAGACCCATGCCAATTTTTCATAGTTAAGAAAATGCTAAATGGCTTTAAACAACTAAAACATAGAAAAGATTCAAGAAGCCCGATAACATTTCCCCTATTAGTCAAGTTAATAGACTCGCTGCAACATGTGTGTCGCAATTATTATGAAAAATTACTGTTCTCCTCAGCATATGGGCTCGCATTCTTTGCTTTACTTCGAGTTGGTGAAATAACCACTACTAGGGCAAATACCCACAGTTCCCCATTATCAATAGAAAATGTATCAATATCCCAATCATCCATTCAGATCACTTTAGGGAAAACTAAAACAGATCAGCATGGCAAGGGCACAACAATGCACATTAACAGTACAAAGCACAATCAAGTCCTATTCCACAACGTTCTAGAGTACGCGACCCATAGACCATCACAAACTCAAACATCACAGTTTCTGTGCCACATGGATGGCTCACCCTTGACTTACTATCAATTCAATCAAATACTAAAGAAAGCTCTATCATTCCTCAAACTTGATATATCAACATTCAAATCCCATTCATTTCGCATAGGGGCTGCAACTTCATTGTATATGCAAGGTACTCCAGAGCAAGAAATCAAAACCATGGGTAGATGGAAATCCAACGCTTTTAAGTCATATGTTCGCCCTAATACTGTAGTCTTGTAGATAGTCAGTCTTACTAACTGTAAGCTAAGTTTGCAGGAACTCGCTGCAAAGTATGGATTGTTGGATCTTCCATCATCAGACGAGCTGAAGATTACTGCACACGTTCACCAATTGGCCAAAACTTGTCTCTGGAGCACTTAAACATAGATGTAACCTGGTCCGGATCTGGGGGACTAAAATGGGAGCAACTTGATCAACACATTGCTAGTTTGTTAAATCGCCATAATGAAATCATTCCTCAAGTTCTAATAGTTCACTGCGGTGGCAACAGTATCGGCATTCAGTCCCTTAAAAAATTACAAATAGCCATGAAATCATTATTAGCCTCCATTCATAGAAAATTACCAAACACTCTTCTTGTATGGTCAAACATACTTCCTCGCAAATACTGGCGTTACATGATTTCGAGCGAAGCTGCAGAGAAATCTAGAAAAAGAATCAATAATTCCATTGGTTGCTTTGTTGTGCAAAAGTTAAATGGGGCCCTCATTCGTTACCCAGATATTAGAATTGATCAGCCCAAATTATTCCTCGATTGTGTTCATTTATCAGATCTTGGAAATTCTATTTTTACAACTACAATTCAAACGGCATTGTCCAAGTTTCTGACTTCCAGTCAAAAGGTTTTCCCCACACTCCCATAAAACACAGTATCTGTGCATGGCTTGTAAAAGAAACACCTTCACACCATCCCATATTCATGATAGTAGTCGCAATTGCACTGAGTTGCATTGCATCCTTCCCTCTCCCCTCCCCCCCCCCCAGTTATGCTGATTGATGCTTTGATATGTTGTGTTATATTGCTTTGCCACATTATTCATTGATGATACCCTGCATATTGTTTTTGTATTGCTTTGAGAATCATTGCGTTGCATAAGACATGATGTCTTGTTTGCCAAATTGTCCGCCACTTGTTGGCGGATGGATTGCTGTCTCGAAATTCGCGCACAGCAATCCACTTGGCAGAATTTTGCAACAGGCCATCGCTGGCAACTTCTGTTTACCCTCCAGGGTTGTCAGCACCATATGGCTCCGTTTCTGCAAACCGTAGGCGCCAAATGCCAGATTGAGGATCGGCGCTTACTCATTGACACTTGCAATAATACTTGATCATTGTCCATTGTTTGATACCATTGATTTATTATGTAATAACCTATCTTAAACAAAATAAAGCCATGACAGATACTGCCATTCTGAATTGCTTATTCTTTCGAGATAATTGCATTTACCGCCATGTGCGGTAAATGCCAGTTATCGAAGAAGAATAGCCTAAGCGCGATAACTCCCCTGACCTCAACCAAATTTCCAAAATAGCCCCAAGCCTTAAATGCGCTTGCGCACACATCCTCTTCGCTCGACGATTTTGATCACCCACCCGCCCCCACCATTTTATGTAGATTAATATTCCTCATCTAATCCACACAGTTTTTTCCTTTACACCGATCATCCATAAAACTTGCTTACATATACCAGTCATCCATAAAAACTGCTTACATATATACATCACCCTATTCAGTTACGTACGCGGATATGCATACATATAGTATTTTTATCATAGGTATGTTAGGGCATAAATATGGTGCATTCAATTATTATTAGTTTTCTCCTGTGTTTCTGCTGTTATCATTTCCGATTCCAGCGCAACATCGTCCCTCGTCATGGCTTTAGAGATCCTTCCAGGCTGCAATCCATGCCGACGAACTACAGAATTTTGCAACAAGCCATCGCTGGCAACTTCTGTTTACCCTCCAGGGTTGTCAGCACCATATGGCTCCGTTTCTGCAAACCGTAGGCGCCAAATGCCAGATTGAGGATCGGCGCTTACTCATTGACACTTGCAATAATACTTGATCATTGTCCATTGTTTGATACCATTGATTTATTATGTAATAACCTATCTTAAACAAAATAAAGCCATGACAGATACTGCCATTCTGAATTGCTTATTCTTTCGAGATAATTTGATTCATTGATAATATGGCTACAACCGTTTGTTTCGCTTTTTTCTTGTCATTATCAATAATTCTTGAAAATTTGATTTTTCATATGGGTGTCTTCCTGAGGCCATGTGTTTATTTCGTCCGCCATTCCTCTGTCACACAGAGTTCAAATAACATTGATTTTAGAATAAATGCGACCATAATAACATCAAGACAAGAAATAACTAAGTAAAAATCATTAGTTTATATTACTTACTACTTTTATTTGTTGCATCGCATCGTCTAATTAATGGAAAAAACTCGATTTTAACCCCACTCCAGCAAATCGGGAAAAACTGTTCTGTTTACAGCTCGAATTTCCTCGATAATATCATTCCACTGAGCACGTGGTTGGCATGTGCATATATCTGCTGTGGATAGATGCGTTTATTACTATGATTATATCTAATTTTTCATGGAACAAGTCTTGATAATTTGTTGGTTTCTTTAAAACTCAAGAAAAAAGATAAAATATGTCCTAAACATATGTGTTTACGGCGGGTCTTTTTTCTGTGGTGATAGAAGTTATTTTCAAATGGGGCACTGCAAGGAGGATGCTAAGCATTTTATTTGAAAATGTTAAACAATATGCGGTGCATGAAAAACAAGTTGTAATTACATGTCTTACATTCGAAAAGTTGGTACATATGTCTACTTTGTTTAGCAGTTAGATAGAAAAAATAGGCAGTTAGAGGATTTCCTTCAGGCACCTCACATAAATAGCTAGATTGTTTGCAATGAACCACACATTGTATGGAGTAATGTTTGGACATAAAAACGCATCATGTCTCCTTATGTTGACAACGTTGTAAGCTCCCGCTCATTGAACATACGAAGCTTGATAAAATATATGGAGTTGTTTCTTTGACATTTAGAAGCAAGCACAGTGTTTGCAAAGAAAGGTCCATTACATATGCTATGTCTATCATCGCAAAAAAAAAAAAAATGAGAGCCCCCCCCCCCCCCCCCCCCGAAAATGCTATGTTTGTTCTTCAAAATTTAAATCCTTAGGAATTTTTTTTCTTACCTATATATATGGACCCAATAATTTTTCCCTGAGTTGGGAGGACCACCAAACGTCATTTAAAAGATGGTATAAAATTTTTAAGGAGGAATGCCACACCAACTTTTTATTTTATAGATCTTTGAGTCATCCTTTTTAAACAATGGTTACAGCATTGAAAGGCCGACATTAGCTCTTAATTATTTTATATGAATTTTTTTGTATTTTTTCAGAAAACGAAAAAAATTATTTACATTTAAATTAGATGCTTTCTTGTAAAATTTTTGCTGTAAATGAATGCATCACATGAATACCTAATAAAATATGTAAAGAAAGTCTGGTTAGACTTTTTAATTTTTTTTATAAAAAATTACATATTTTAAAAATTACATCTTTACATATTTTATTAGGTATTTATGTGATGCATTTATTTACAGCAAAAATTTTACAAGAAAGCATCTAATTTGGACGTCAATAATTTTTTTCATTTTCTTTGAAAAAATACAAAAAAATTCAGATAAAATAATTAAGAGCTAATATCGGCCTTTCAATGCTGAAACCATTGTTTAAAAAGGATGACTCAAAGATCTATAAAATAAAAAATTGGTGTGACATTCCACCTTAATTATGTTGATTTTTTTCTTTACTCTGTAAATTTGTAATTTTGACAAAAAGGGCAAATAGACGAAAGTTTTTTTTATTTATTAAATCTCCTAACCCACTCTGAATTATTTCATTCCTTTTCAAATGTTGCTGCGCTGTAATGAAAATTGTAAATGTTTATTTGACAGAGTATACGAGGGGTGATCAAAAAGTATACGATATCTAAGTATTTGATAGTTATATTATTGTTGAAATATTCAAGTATTTTTCAAAGTGTAAATTGGAGGTCTTTGATAGCATATTGCTGAGACGTCGTGCATAGTATTGGGGTTTGAAATTGCGTAACTTGTAACACTGTAAACCACGGGCGTTAGTATTTTTGGTCATTTTATCGTTTTGGCTACAGTGATTTTTCTGCCAATTTGTACGATGCTTCTATAATGTCTGGTGATGATGTCATACAATATCCATTTTTAATTTTCCAGTTTACTGGCCGATTTCGACTGTTCGTAAAATTGAGAGGGTTCCGTAATATGTCGTGTTCTTGTCAAGTAACAAGAAAAGATAGAATGTTTGGAAAAGATTTTTAAATATATAGCAGGTTCTTTTCGTAAAACTAAGTTGATAAATGAAATGTGCAAAGCAAGAAGTAGTCAAATGTTTCTTTAGAAAAATTTAAGCAAGTAGTAGGACAGATTAATAGAGCGATTTTGAGGTCTAGTCGGTTTTGTTACTACGACACAAATATGCGTCTAATGGTATTTAACCGGGCGTATAGCACCAATATTAGCTGTATTCCCTATTTACTGGGAAAACTTGTAACAAATAAAATATTATTTTTAAAATGTGCAAATAAATAAAATTGTGTATTTAAAGAAACTCTAAAAAGTAAGACATTTTTAAGAAAACGGGAGCAAAAATTGGATGTCTAGTCTAATTTGTTACGCCTTTAATTTTTGACGTTTTTACGCTTAAACGACGTGTGTAATAACGTCAGAAAAGTATATTTTGACGTTACAAAATCAGCCTCAATTCTGTGAACGACGTCTTAATTAAAAACACATCCCTTTTCAAACTTGCTTTCACAGGACAACATAACAAGTATCATATTTAACCATCTACCTTCCTTCACTAAAACAATCTATCCAATCATTGATTGAATTTAGAGGAAGTCATTTGTCTTAATAAACTGTGAACAAATTCTTATACGCTACTTCAAAGGCATATTTAAGATATACCATAAAAATTTTAATCGTTTGTTGAACGAGTTCCACTGAGACAACCATTTTTCGTCACAACTATCTGCATAATGACATCATTTTCACATTGTGAGAAAAACTTTATTCAGCATATGCTATTTATAGAACTTGTTTGGCTATTTGTGCACCAAATTTGTTTCTAATCTGAATTGTGGTTTTGTAGAGATAGTTCACGAACTTTTTGATCACCCCTTGTACTAGTAGGTACTAAAACAAGGTCATTCATATCGATTTTATGTGTTTAATTTCTTTGTGTTTCATTGGTGATAATTAAAATTTTGATAGATATTTATGTTATCTGTGGCAAACTTACAAACTCTTAATTCTTAACTTTGATGGTACTCATTTTTCCTTACCATGAATCAATGAGTTTAAGATATTTTCTTTTATATTAATACGTACACTATTTTAAAACTGTTCGATAATAATACTAAATAAATTACTTCAAGCCACACTATAACACATTTCCTCTTTTAAAAGTGTTCATACTATTTGAAATATTTTGCAACTGTAATTCTCTTCTACATTTAAAGATTGTTATGTCCCTCCATATTAAGAAGAGGTCTGGAAAACAAAATTCTGTGCTAAAAATAGACCACGTGCTGCTATCCGTGAACTACTTTCATGGTTCTTTACACTCTTTTTGAAGGCAACGATACCTTGTTTTAAACTTGAATTTATCATTTAAAAGTGCAAAATTGAGACATTTTTTCAACAAATGGTTGTAGAGAGAACATTAATGCACAGTTTGCGTATTTTTTTGAATTTTTTAAGGCTCTGCTGAATTCTGCAGCTGCGCAGTTCTAAGGAGCATTTCAAAAGCATTTTTCTGCAAAAGTATAGATTATATATGCACAATATGCATTCAGTTATGCATATTTATCGTATCTTTATCATAAGGACTTACAATTTGAACAAAATATAATGTATTTTAGCCATTTGAAGAAATGTTTACATTTTGTTCTCACTGCACTTAAGGTGGCCGTACATCCCCCTTAATAATACAGGTAACTCTTGATGACTCGAACTTCGTTCTATCGAAGTTCTTGATCGCTCGAAGTGAGTCTCCGGTCCCGCTTTTTTTCCCTATGTAACTAAGCAAATTCACTCTTGATTTCTCGAACTCTTGATCTCCCGAAACCCTTGGTAGCCAGATCAGTAGATGCTACTCAGAAATCAATTTTACGAAAAGTTGCCTCGCAGTGCAGTATTACTGAGCAATCTGGTGAAGGACCCGGTCCGTTCGGGGGGATAACCAGATCAGTAAATTCTGCACCTAATGCAAAGTCTGCATTAGGAGGCAAAGGCGTATAAAGAAAACTCAACATGAAAAGTATTAACACATAGTATGAAGCAGTTCTGGAGGTCGAGAGGGGGGAGAAATCAAAATCTCAGATAGCCAGATTTCGGCGTACCGCCCAATACACTTTCAACATGGCTGAAAAACAAAGAAAAAAAATTAAATGAATACCTACCAGCAGTTCAATCCCAAAAGAAAGAACAGTAGAACGGGTACATTTAATGATGTTGAATCTGCCACTTTAAAAAGGTTCAAAGTTGCCAGAGACCAGAACATTCCCATATCTGGACCAATGCTAGTTACAAAAGCAGAAGAGTTTGCCAAGAAACTCAATGTAGCAGACTTTAAGGATCTAACGGCTGGTTACAAAATTTCAAATCCCGACAAGGGATTACGTTCAAAAGAGCCTGTGGTGAAGAAAAGTCAGTTGACACGCAGTCTGATGATATGTCAGTCTGGCAAGAAAAACTGAAACTTCTTCTCACACGCTACCCCCTAAAGAAATTTATAATGCTGATGAAACCGGCATGTTTTTCCGCTTGCTGCCTGACAAAACCCTTGAATTCAAGGATATATTAGACTCTCATGGCGGCAAGAAAAATAAGGAAAGATTAACCGCTATGGTGTGTGCTAATATGGAAGGCACAGACAGGCTGCCGCTCCTTGTGATTGGAAAGTCCGCCAATCCTCGCTGCTTCAAGAACGTCCGGTCCCTTCCCGTGGAGTACAACACCAACAAGAAAGCCTGGATGACCGTAGACATCTTCTCTACCTGGGTCAAACAGCTCGACAAGAAGATGAAGAGAAAGAAACGAAAGACTGCCCTTGTCATCGACAACTGTCCGGCTCACCCAAAGATCCCCGCGCTGCAGTCCATAGAGCTGATATTTCTGCCACCCAATACAACATCCAAGACCCAGCCCATGGACCAGGGAATAATCCAGAATATGAAGGTCCACTACAGAAAGAGAATTCTCCTACGCTAAATCTCCGCCATTGATAAGAAAGAGACTCCACACATCTCCATCCTAGATGCCCTACATACCCGGTATGCTGAGCAAAGCTTGGGCCTGTGTCACTGTGAAGACCATTTGAAACTGCTTCAAGCATGCTGGTTTCGCCAACAGTACCACAGCAGAGGCCGAGGAAGAAGATGATGACTTTGACATTGACGATAACATCCTTTTGTCGAGATTACGAGACCATGGCCTGACCCCCGATGTCCTGCAGCAGTTTACCAACGCCGACAACGCACTTCCGACATGTGCCGACTTAACAGACGATGACATCTTAGAGGAAGTCTGAATGAATCGGGAGGCAGAAGCAGCCCAATCTGTAGAAGAGAACAATCCCGATAACCGCCCTGCCCCCTTCATACTTTGAAAGTGTATCTAGTGCACGTGACATTGTGCACGTCCTACCTTCAAAGCCGTGCCGATAGTAGTGACAATTTGATTAACTTTTAACATTATTTGTGATCTTGTGAACAGAGACATTTTCAAGAAGAAAATTGCCCACCAATCGCACATTTCGAAATTTTTTAAGTGATCATGTTTTAGCGTAGTGACTATGCCAGTGCTGACTGTATTCATGCTTGTCCAACAAACTAAAATGACTGTGCTTTTATTTGTGTGAGTAAATATTAATGCTTGAATTGACACTTCATTTGAAATATTTATTAAAACAAATGTGTGCTTAAACGCTTAATAGATCTGCATGTAAATTGTCTGGTATTTTAAAGCGCTAAAAATCATATGATTTTCATTACATCGTTCGTTCATATACAATGGATGCATTTTATATCTGATGTTCATCATACGTGGAATAAATAAATATTATGACAAAATATATTTTCTCTTTTATTAACTTAAAAAAACGTCCAGATCTGTATATTCACCTCAAAAATATAAAGGAGAATCGTTGTTAAAGCATGTGTGTAAGATTATCTCTGGAATGAAGGACTGAATCATCTTGAAAACTCGAACTCTTGATCTCTCGAAGTTTTCGCTCGGTCCCGTGGACTTCGAGTATCGAGAGTTACCTGTGTAGTTTTTTTGGTTCATTTATAAAATGTACAATCCGTTAAAAAGATTTTGTCACACTGTCGAAATTTGTCTTTATTTCGTGCATTTTAAAATCTTACAAGTCCTGGAACGAAATGTGGAGTGATATTTTCTTTTCATCGATATTGGTTAGTACTAGAGCCATTGTGCTTTTGATAAATTCTGATTTCGACATTTACTTGGTTCGCAAGTAATAAAAATGACCTCCGGTTGGAGACGGCTAAATTTCCAGTTTTCGTAATGGCACCGGTTCTTACGTTTTCCTGGCACGTAAAATATCAAAATTGTGAAAAAGCCTGGAAAACGTCAGATATTTCGGACTGTTCACAATGATGCAGACGACAACAAACATGGCAAGGTTTCACCAGCCTGATAGTGAGGATATTGCATTATTATTGAATGGAAAGGACGCTATTGACACAAACAAAGCAACGAAAGTGGCAGTCAATTGTTTTCGTGACTATTCGGCGGAGTGCTTTGATTTAACAACGGATTTTGAGGATTTACCCGTAGAAGATTTAATTGATTGATTGTATGTTATTTAACGTCCCTCTCGAGAATTTTTCACTCGTATGGAGACGCCCCCACTTACCGGTGGAGAGCTACAAACTTCGTCCTATACTCGGCACTCAGGGCCATTGAGCAGTGCATGAGGGATCTTTTTCGTGCCAGCACCTACTGCGACACGGGACCTCGGTTTATATAGTCTCATCTGAAGAGACGGTCTCCATGCACGTCCCACGGTGGGATTCGAACCTGCGACGTAAGGATTGACTCCTTACTTCGCGACTCTAGAGCAGACGATGTAAACCACTGTGCCACGCTGGCGACTGGAAGATTTAAACAAAGCGTTGAAATCCTTTTACGTCGACCCAAGAAAAACGTAAGTAGAGCTTTTCAAGAAGAGTGTATTACAGAACACTCGGTATGGGTTAAAACGTATTTTAAAAGATAAAGAAAACATTGACATCGTGATAGACTTATCAAAATTTAGTAGAAGTAACGAAATTTTTAAAGCAGTTTCAAAAGATATGTCGTCACTCCAGTATTTGATATAATTAATACTCCATGTGCTTTACAGAGAAACGTTTGGTTTGAAATAACTGTACCTATGCAGAAGAGGGAGGGAAAATTTGAGATCCATGACTAGAGATACATTCAAGATAGCCAGAGATGATGTTGGTAGCCAAGACAAAGGAATCTAATGTGAAAACATCCTCAGATAGTGAAGATTCAATTTTATTCAAATCATGACCCCTGGGGGCAGGGCGGGGCCACAGCTGACGATCAAATTTACATAGGAACATAATGGAAAAATCTTTGAAAATCTTCTCAAGGACCACGTGGCAGAGAAAGATGGCACTTTTGTGAAAACATCGTCAGGTTGTGAAGATTATAGTTTGTTCAAATCATGACTCCCGGGGGTAGGGCGGGGCCACAATTGATGATCAAAGTTTTACATAGAAATATATAGGTAAAATCTTTGAAAATCTTCTCAAGAACCACTTGGCCAAGAAAGATGGGACTTTTGAGAAAACATCCTCAGGTAATGTAGATTCTCGTTTGTTCAAATCATTATTCCCGGGGGTAAGGCAGGGCCATGATCGACGATCAAAGTTCTACATAGGAATATAAAGGAATAAATCTTTAAAAATCTTCTTCCCAGAAACCGGCCAAGAAAGATGAAACTTATATGGAAACATCCTCAGGTAGTGTAGATTCCATTTTGTTCAAATCATGACCCCTGGGGGTAAGGCGGGGCACAATGGACGATCAAATTTTACACAGGAATGAATACATCGGATAATTTTTTAAAGCTCTTCTTTTTATGAACCACAAAGCCATAACTGTTGAAGCATCCTCATGTAGTGTAGATTCAAGTTTGATCAAATCATGTAAAACTTTGATCAGCCATTGTGGCCTCACCCCACCCCTGGGGGTCATGATTTGAAAAAAAAACTTGAATCTACACTACTTGAGGATGCTTCCACATGAGTTTCATCTTTCCTGGTCATTTGGTTCTGGAGGAGAAGATTTTTAAAAGATACCATTTATTTTTCATTAATTCATAATTATCTGACCTTGGAAGAGGGCTTGGTCCTTCATTTGTACAAACTTGAATTCCCTTTACCCAAAGATACTTTGTGGCAAGTTTGGTTGAAATTGGCCCAGTGGTTCTTGAGAAGAAGATGAAAATGTGAAAAGTTTACGACGACAACAACGACGACGACAGACAACGGACAAATTTTGATCAGAAAAGTTCACTTGAGCCTTCGGCTGAGGTGAGCTAATAAAAAGGAAAAAATCTTTTGCTTAAACAACAGCAAAACCATTTGTTATATTGATATGGAAGCATTATCAGGTAGTTTAAAATTCAAGCCCCCCCCCCATGTAAACTCAATACTGAAGTGATTTTTTCCCCAAGCCAATGTGCTCAGGATAGCGATCTGGCCCATGGGCCTCTTGTATTTACACGGAATAGCTAATGGTTAAATTCTGAAATTATACCCTTACAAATTAAAAAAAAAAAATTAAGGCCCACATGCAATGATTTAATTTCATCTCCAATAACAAGAATCTGTTGTAATTTAATATCATGTTGTCATTGTCATATAATACACACGTGTTATTTTCAGATTTTGAAAAGCTCTGACAAGAATTGGCGACATTACAGTTACTTCATCAGATCTAGTTTACATAGATATTGTCGATGACCATATGGTAGTCCCAGAGGTTATGCTTCAGAAGACAAATGAGACTAGGCCTAGTAAATCCGTAGACAATTCTAGCACATCCTCAAGTACTATGGAAACAGTCACAGCTACAGCAACCTACCAAGATGAAGCTGAAGAGGATGAGGATCAGGCTGGAAAACGATTCGACTGTGAAATGTCGGCCACAAAAAACTTCTATCAATTTTGATTGATAAGAAAAAAGAAACCAGTGATTTTGCACTATCCAAAAAAGTTTGGCCAATGGTTGCAGATCAAATTAAACAGCCATCAATTTATCAGCCATGAACAACTCAGTGCAGAGAGAAGTTTTACTCTCTTAAGAGAAGCTACCGTCACTTCTTAATAGAATCTAAAAGGCCTGGCAACAGAGGACCAAAGCCATTCATATTTGAATCAGAAATGCAATCGATTTTAGAAAATGGCCCTTCGTTCAAACCGAATTTCATGAAAAGCTCATTTGAGGCAAATGAAATAAACAACAATAATGATGTTGCAGACACAGATTAGGAAGATTGTGTAGAAACAGCAAGTACCAATTTATTAACTCCTAATTTAAATAGGAAACACAAAGGAAAAACTTGTTGAGCTGAAAGATTTTCTAACTGAAAGAGACAAAGAATTTTTAAGCAGATGAATGAAATGCAGCAAAAAACCTGATCCTGGAAAAACTTGTAGAAAAACTATGGACATGATTAAAGCGTCGTTGTTGTTGGGCCAGGTTTCTGCAGTCTCGGAAGGGCGTAATAAGCCACTCCATTATAGGAAAAGCAGAGTCTCCTAAGATTCAATAACCATTAGGAATTTTGTTACTTTTTAAAAATAAATCTTAACACAGTGTGCGCTGCCTGGGTCCCCAGTCCAAACATAAGTGTCAACTCCATTTTTGAGTTACAGCATGCTAAAAAGAAAAGAACAATGGAATAAAACTTTTTTCTGTTAAAGTAAGCATGAGTTTGTTCCACTGGAGCCTGTATTGGTATAACACTTCCATCAAAAGCACCTAAAATTTTTTGGAATTCAGACTTCTCCCAAACTGCTGACAAGTTTCATTCATTTTGGTTGGGGTTTCTGCCCATGTTATTACTTCATGCATAATCTCAAGAAACTATTGTTATAGATAAAAGATACCACTGAGTCTGGCACATCTGTTTCATACTTGGATATATTACTTGAAAAGGACATAAATGGTAATCTAACAACCTTAAGCTCTATTTGTATCCGTTATTTCCCAGTCATGACAAGGAGCACACGGCGGGTATGACCGGTAGGCAGGGGATGCTCACTCCTCCATGACACCTGATCCCACCTCTGCAGGTCCAAGTTTGCTCTGCTCCTGTTTTGTATTGTTTTATGGACTTTGATATTGAATACATATATATATTATTATAACAGTAACTTGATCTGAAGAGCCGGAAGCGTTGAGTTTGATCTGGTGATCCGCGCCTGTCAACGAGACGTGATCCGGCTCTTCGGATCAAGTTACTGTTATAATGATAAATTTATTATA